CCGACATCAGCCTGAATGATGATTTGTCTCTCGTTGAGTATATTTGGATGAGAGGTCATTATCCTCCCCTGGGGCACAACAATAATGTTCCAAATAAAGCATCTTTATTACTTTCTGCCCCACCCGCCACAAAATGGTTACTTTCGGAAAGTTTATTATTTCAACTTTGGCACACATGCCATGCTTGGCGCTCCACATTTATGAAGTAAATATGGGTGTGAGTGAGGATGACGGCATAGTGAGTTGGTATTGATATTGATGTTGGATTAGTATTTGGATTAGTATCGGATTAATTGGAGAAGTTAAATTGTGATTCAGAGTAATTCAGTTGGTATTGATTGTACCCGGCGAGAAGAGTGTAGGCTTATGTAAGTTTGTATAACATCCGGTGCTGATGCTACTGTTTTGAATACTTAGGATAAAATAATAGGTCGGGTGCTCCACATGAATGGATGTGGTTGGCAATGATTTATTGACACAAAGCGGCTAGGATTGAGTGGATTGTGTTACTGGGAGGTTGTGGGTTTACATATGGGCTCGGGACATTCAAAAATCTTGATAAGATCGGCAACAACTATTTTGGGCTGGATAGAGGTTGAAGGCGCTTGGGGAAGAATCCGACTTCTCTTTTCAGTAAACTCCAATTCCTCAACCATATTTATCCGATTAATAACAAGCATGTCAATAAGCTCAACAAGCTTCTCTTTGGACTCAATACTTCGTCGCTTGGTTTCAATAGCTTGCTTGATAAAGAGCTCGGTTTCCTTCTCTAGCTTTTGTGCATTCTGCAGCTGAGTGAGCATTCGCAACAAATTCATCCCTGGCTTAGCTCATTGGGTCTTATCTAGAATTGGTGAAACTATTGGTCTTTTGGGTTGGTTCCTTTTCAAGCAGATCTGACTGCTGAATGTACTGATCCAGGAGTTTGAGGTCTAGTCTTTCTTCACCAATGTCTTGAAACCCAACGATTCCACCAATGAAGAAGCCTTTGGTAAAAGATGCTAGATAGGGAAGCTCTTGAACTTCTAGTTTTTCAGTTATAAATGGAAACTTAGTGGCTTCGGCGATGATAAACTCAATACTGGGATACTTGGGGGCTAGAATTTCTAATGCTTCGGTCATTTCTTTGCATCTGGGAAACCGTTTATCATAAAAATGGACTAAAAGAGTATCTGTTTTTGACTTCTTAAGAAGTAATCTTTCATCTGTGATCTCTTTAAGGGTGCAGCTCTTCTGCAATTCGGCTAATCGCTTATGAGTATATTCATTGAGAATGTCTAATTCTGTTTGGTCCATTAAAAATAAATGTTTCGGTTTCCGACTATGTTTCATCAGTTGTTTATATGGGGATTGGCTTGTGCCTCATAATGGAGAAGTGCACAATTAAGTGGGGGTGGATAAAGGTTCTGTTCACTTTGGTTGCTTTTGTATGTACGATAGGGATGGTTTTTGTTAGTACGTTGCCTTTATTAGATGCGAGCTTGAAACCCAGTGATACAATTTCATTGCTGGTAGGGCTGACTTGTGCCTTCCGGTTGTTGGAGTTTATGTTTGTTAATACAAACGGACATTTACTGGTTTGGGTTCTGAGTACTTTTACAACAAACTTGTTTGGGTTTATCACTATCAATTATGACCAGGCCAATGCCTTCTTTGAACACTTAGAGAATAGAGGTGGACAGGCACAGTCGTCGAATTAGTGGATTTATTGCCAGGGATTGTCAAAACTTGCTGAAGACCAGGAAATCACTACTTCGGGCTCGGAATCAAGCGAGGCCCCGGGTGTGGTGGGTTCTTGGACAGCAAACAGGGCGTAGAACTTTCTGATTTGCTGGTGAGACATGCCTCGCAGCTTGAGTTTGTTACTGAAGAAAAGGGAAGACTTGTCTTCAATAATGATTTCCTTGTTGTTTTGGGCTAAAGATACCTTTTTGTCCTTGATTGAAAAAGGAAAGCCCTTTTCGTGCACTGGAAGGTCTTCTAGGTGTGCTAGGAGGTACAGATGAATTTCTTCGAGCTCGTTCTCGTTGCTCAAGCAAAGGCTCCGCGGCCGAGGGGCTTGATTGAGCTGCGCTGAAACCTCAGCTGGAGGATGGGGCTCTGGCGCTATAAATAAACTGTTAGATATCCCACAAAAGAGGTTGGTGGTTGAAAATGCATGAATGTATTGGGTGCTAGTGAGAACCAGAAAGACTGGAGGCGTGTTCGAGAGTTTGCTGGTATAGAAGAGGCCGCAGCCGCGCACGGACAGGTCGACGAGAAAGGGGTAGAGGCCATTGTGGGCGTCTTTTTCTTGGGCGGTCTTTTGATAGAGCTCGGCAAACCGGTCTTCACTGGGCTGCGTAAGACTACGGTCTAAATCGAAGGTTTTGTCGGCTAGTTTGTACATTAGGTGGCTGTTAGAGGCAACACTGGAGAGTTCTTTGAGGTCCGAAAGAAGAATGTTGAGGTGGTTGTGGGCACTAAGCATGTACTCGCGCAGAGTGGTGTAGTACATTTTCAGCGCATCATTGTAGGCAGTCTGGTAGATGTGGGACATTGTCTGCCGGAATTGAGCATGCTTCTCCTCTTTGCGAATGTAATCTTTAATGCAGTGCTTGAGATCTAAGTCGGCCTTCCAGACATCGGACTCGCCCTTAAGTGCATTGTTCCTTTTCTCGGCGGCCGTATGCATTCGATCTTCGGCCTTAACCATCTCGTGCTTGTACCCATCTTCTTGTTTTTGGTAAGATAGTAACTGATGGCTGACCGAATCAAGGGCGCTCTCAAGATCATTGGCTACCATTTGCGAGATCTTCTGCATACTCTGGAGAGAGAGGGTCTGAGTATCACAATATTTCAAAAATGATGCAATTACAGTATCTTGTTTCCAACTGGTTTCTCGTGGCTCAGCAGTTACTCTGGCAAATGCCTCCAAGGAAATCTTGTGTGCCCGAGCGGTTTCTTTGTACCCATTGCCCAGCCACTTTACTCGCTCGATAAGACTAGACAGCTTATTGAAATCGTCCATCTAAACAAACCCGGGTTGCAATAAATATAAATAGTAGGGCCGAACAAGGTGAAGCTAGATCTTGGCTTAGTAATAGACTGGTGCTTATTGGGTTAGTATTGAGTTGGTATTGGTTGTGCAAAGATAAGCACTGATCGGACATATCGGTGGTATAAACCAATATTTTTGTAAAAGCAAGCTATGTCTGCAGAAACAGACGCTTTTATAGGCCTTAGTAGAGATAAGATTGCTTTATTAGAAAAGTATGTTGACCAGGAACTGGATCCTTCAGACCATACGGGGTTTTTGGCTATTTGTGATATTTTTGGTCTGAAATGTCCTGGAAATCTAGTGGGTGTTCGAGAACGAGTTGAACTACTGTGTAAGTTTAAAGATCTATGTACGTCATTTGGCGTTGAGATATCTCATGATTTTGAAGCTCTACTGGTCGAGATAAAAAAGAAGGAAGAGATAGAGCGACTTGACCAAGAGAATGACCGCATGGAAATAGAACTTATTCGCACTCAAAAGGGCCTTTCGGAGCTGTACATAAAGGAGTCCAAACTAAAGGAACTGACTGAAGAAAAGAATGCCTTAGTCGAACGAGTACAACAAATAGAAAGAATAGAAAAGTACTCATTGTTCTCTCTAGAAATTGTTCAGTTGGCCAAGACTTTAATGATCGATACTAAAGAACGCAAGGACGGATCGGTGTGTTTTGATTCAGGCGGATACTTAGAAGAGTTTCACTTGCTGTTTTTGCCCTTTGTTAATCTATCAGCTAATGCGGTGAACTTTCTATACAATCAGCTGGTCGTTCCCAGTTCTGATATTAATAAGGAAAAGGCCGTTAATCGCTATCTAGAACATCTTAAAGCTCTAGCTCTGCTAAAAGAACGAAAGGAATGTGTTAAGAACCCAAATCTGAAAAGAGATTGGGAGTTGGTCGAGTTGGTAGCACAGCGGCCAAACTATCCGGTTGACGAGCTTTGCCGAGTTTTGCATGCCCCTCGGGCTGAAATAATTGAACGAGTCTTTCTGTTGTCTGCTAAGGATGTATTGGTGTTTAATAGAGCCGCAGATACAGTTAGGATTAAATAAAGAGAAGTAGAATAAACTAGCACTAATATCTAGTGAGCAGCAGCTAAAGACTTCTGTGATTTTAGTTAGAGTAATACTTGAGTTTATCTATAAGCTCTTTGCCATCCAACCCAATACTAACCCAAATTTCAAAATTATCACGGGAACCCCAAAGTTGAGATAAACCCAAAGATAATGCCGCGATAGTAAGCAGGCCAGAAAAGGGCATCCGGTTTCAAGAATAAAGAAGGACACAATAAACTATGCTTGTACTCCTCTATACTTGGTCTTTGGTAAAATGGGGCTGGTTTAATAGCCATTGCTCTTTGCCTGGTCAAGATATTAAAGTGCTTGTGATGGAAAGATTTTGATTGGTTGGCTGGTTATATCTGGATAATAATTTTGGAAAATAATAATGTCCGATATTATTGCAGACTTGGCAATGGCTTTTGTTATATCTATATTTGTGCTATCCTTGCCTGTGCTCTGTGGATGCACTATACACAGCTTGTACCAGATATACTTCAAGAAGAATGACTTGGTCATCCCAATTGAGACCGCCATATCCCAGCAACAACCAAGCGACAATATGCCCACAACGCTATCATCATTTAATAACTATCGGCCTACTAATATTACTTGCGCAAACACAGAGCCATCTAATGATATTGTTAAGCATGATCCAATCTGCTATTACAACCAGGGAGTAAAAGCATCGAAGTCTGCTCAACAGGTTTTAGATGCTGCATTCAAGAGTGTGTATGGTGATGGGTATCTTTCTAGTGACATTAATTATATTCAAGACACGTTCTTACCTACCGCGGTCATTGGAGTTCGCGAGAACATGACTATAGAGAGATGCGATCTTACCACATGGGTGTTTCTCTATCTCAAACATCACCCATGCATGAATATGTTTATTGGCAATGGGTTATATCTGTGGAAGTGGATCAGTTATAAACTGCCTATTTCGAGGCTCGAGGAAATGAACAATAATACTCAGGCATGGATAGCCGATCCAGATTATAAATGCATGGAATTAGAGCACCAGGAGCAGCTTGTCGATGAATTTTACGACGAGCTTATAAGACGTATTAATCCTAGAACCTCATATAAACGCCTCGAACGGATATTCACGCGTTTGAATAAGTATATCACGCGACATCAACTAGTTCCTCCAGCGAATTCCATGCTGTCACTTCGTACTCTTTCTCTCATGGCAGGTAATATTTTGATTAGAATTCCTCTACCATTGGAAAACCAAAAGCGGGTTAATCTAGTTCTGGATAAAATTGAGGCCGCCATTCGCCGAGTTGAACAGAATGGTGATATTAAGACCTGGGATGCTTATATAACCCACTTTTCAGATCTTGTTGAGAAGCTCCTACTTGAAGTCAATGCGATTCTCCAACTTCTTAGGGATGTTTGTACGTTCTTTGAAACTATTGGCAAGCAAGTCCAGGAAATCAACTCATCCACAAACTTATTGTTTCCTCCAATGTGTGCGAAGTTGGAGCTTTTGGACTTAAGCGTAGAGTCTGAGGTAAACTTTCAAAGGGGTTCGAAGTACTTTGGCTGTTATGAGAGGATTTTTCCTCTCTGGCTGACTTATGTTGGCTTGATTGAAGGTACTCTCGAGAATCACGAAAGAAGTACTGATTAAGCTAGTACGTACTCTGTGAAATAACCCTTTCCCATACATTACAACTGCTATTCGGGCAATATTAAATCCGAGTTATGGCTCAACTTATACAATCATAAATCTTTAGTTGAAGACTCCACATGAGTCATCAGCAACTTTTATTGTTCTCCTTTGCCGTCTTAGTAGACTATCGGTGGTTTTGCGCTTTGCTGTGCATATTATAATACATCTCTTGGAATTAGTATTGTCTTGGTCGAGTATTTAGTGTTTAGTCTTGAGTTGCTCTCAATTGCTTCTGAATATAGACAGACGGGTGGTCTGTGTCTAATTTAAGCTAGTTTGTCTAGTTGCGAGCTATTGTGTATTTTAAGTTGTGAGATAAAAAGACTGGCTTTGAATACGTAGACATAGACTCTACATAATATAGTGTAAAAGCGGTCTTCATTTATGGTATACTAATGAGATCCTGGGACATAAAGACATGCCAATTTCTTAGATAATACTAACCCGATCTGCAATCAGGGGTATAGCCCAATCCCAATCATGGCTTTTGTGAAATTGATTTGATCTGCTTTTTACCCATATCTGAACAATAATTGGGAAACTTACTAATGTGTGTTGGTATTAACCAAAGAAGCAAGGTAATGCTTGTCATTGGAATCGGCTGCATTGGGTTGGCTGGTTGGGCAGGATATGTGGTATATCAAATGCGTTTCGCTAGTACTAAGTTCTCAGAGCTGTTCGGTCCACCGGAGCATCAACAATCCGGCAAAAATCAGCCCCAAACTTGTCTGCAACCAAATACTATTCACCTGGAGGACCCATCAGAAACAGCCAGTGAGGCTAGCTGTAAGCTCTACTATGACCAAGGAGAAATGGCATCAGTGTTTGCTTCAAAGATCATAAAGAATGCGCAGCAATCGCTAGCTGCAGCAGAAGGGTGTTCTAGGGGTGCGGACTATATTAAGGATGTTTTCGTGCCTACTATGATTCTTAATCCTTCTGAAAGATACCAGGAGGAGAAATGCCAGCACATTATATCACTCTTTGGGTTGCTGAACGAGGCTATTCCGGAGGACTTGCAACTCAATGCCTTGTTTCTTGAGCCCGCATCTTATGACGTGCTCTGGCTAAGAGTTCTTGGGTGCTTTTATCGTCCTTATTTATGGCTCTGCCACTACCTGCCTATCTCTAATCTTAAGGAGCTTAATGCCAAAATTAGATTCTATCATCAGACCGCGGCAAATCCCAATGATTGGGAAACTTGCTGCCAAAACATCGCTAAAGAGCTTATACTGAGCATCACCGCATCTATCAATCTTGGCGGCTTTACTAATCGTTGTAGAGACATTCATTATCGGCTAGTTAAGTACCAAAATGATAACAACATTTCGCGAGCACCTGATGGTACTATACCAATTGAGAACTGGATTTTCATTCTTGATTGGATCAGCTATATGGCGCCTCTGTCTTTAAAAGCTCGCAGTAATATAAATAAGATCTTAAATTATGTGGAAATCGTTATCTGTCGAATTGAACAAAGCTATATCAATCCCCAAACCTATGATGTTTATCTAACGCGTTTTTCAGAGGCCACCCAAATGATCATTGAGGAAATTAATTGTATTCTTGAATTGCTCTTGAGTGCTCATC